CACCTTTGGATTACTGGCACCATCCATTCACTAGTAAATCATACAAAAATTTAATTGGTGCCTCCCTAAGTCTAATTGGTCATAACTCCCAAAAACTTTCATGTATATGCTCTCCTATTCTCACAAACCAGATTGTGGGAGTATCTATTTCACTTTACAAAATCATTCCTTTTAATGTTTTCACCCATCATCATTACATACTAAAAAGTCATAATCTTTTCTATTTAGATCAGCTTACATCATTTACAGAACGTCACCTAATTAATTGGGCTGACTTTTTATATAAAAACTTCAATCATTCTACTACAAAAATGCGTCATTCAACATTTATACCCCTTTTGGAATCTTTTGTATTAGAAAACCACTCAGATACACTTCTTAAAAAGGAATACTTTCTAGATTGTCTTCCCAACTATCTTAACCTAGCTAAACCTATAATGCTAGCTGACAGATTAAAAGGATTCATTTCTATCTGGGATCTGACTAATAATACACTTGTCTTCAGCCAAATTGTAAATAAAAATATTAAGCCTGATGAGTTCATCATTCAACATTACATCTACTCCTCTGAGAACAACATTGGATGGCTTGCCAAATATGACAGTTGTAATAGATTTCCATCAACTCCATATTATGACTTCTGTAATTTTGTTATGGCAAAATACAGTGTTGTTCAAGTTCACATCACACTAAAATCTGCTAAATCAGTGTCTCATCAACTTAGACACACCTTACATGAAATTATTAGAGTTGCACAATCTCATTCTATCCATGTCATACCTAATACTCCTTCTCTTTCTCAAGATCTTATAGAACAAATCTTCCCTAATTCCTCATATCACGATCAATTGCAATCAGAAGTTTCTTCCTGTAAATCCTTATTATTTTACACAGACGGTTCTCTCTCTGCTTCAAAAACTGATCAATGTAAAATGGGTATAGGTTGGATCTGTCATACTGATTTAAACTCACAATTAATGTTCAATGCTTCCATTAATTATTGGCCCTTCTCAACTCGAGCTAAAATCTTCGTTATTCTCTCAGCTTTAGTTATCTCTCCCAAATACTCAACTATACAAATTTATACTGATAGTCAAGCTACTATTCATGGCTTTCACTCTCACATTACTCAACAATCTTTTTCTACAAGAACTAAAGAAAAATCAGCTAACTACTCATTATGGTATTTCATTCAATATATAATGAAATTTTGAACTCCATGTTAATCTTCACAAAGTTAAAGCTTAAAATGGAGATTTCTCTAATGATATTGCTGACTCATTAGCTAAAGCTGGTCATGATCTTCCTTCTTTATCTCCTTCTCTTGTTCATATTCCTAGATTATCTCTGATTTTCGCTTTCAATAATATTCCTATTGAATTTTCTATTCGTCAATTTTTCAAGAATCTCTTCTCAGCTTCCAACTTCTCAGCTTTTTTAGATCTTAATAGGAATGATCACATTAATACTCATAGTAATTTTAACTGGCCTCTTATTTGGCAGTTTTTCACCCTTAACTCCTCTTCCTTATCAACATCCTTTGAAACTTCGCAACTCAAATCCTTTATTCTAAAAATTTTTGTTAATGAACTCCCTACTCTCTCTTGATTAGAACAATTAAGACCTGATCTCTATCAAAATTGGTGTTGTGTTAGTTGTAATATTACTACTGAAACTTCTACTCATATGTGGTCTTGCTCAGCCTACTCTACAATTATCAACAATATTATCTCACAAACCAAAGATCTTTTCTTAGCTGATTTGAAAAAATACATCAACCCTAACTCATACTATGATGCTTTACCTGAACTACTCTATTCCTATGATGAACTCTCGATGCCAACTTCCCAGTGAATTCATTTCACTCATTCACAAAATTATAAAGAATAAAAATAGTTGCTATAGTGAATTCCTTAATCTTCTTCTTTAAAAATCTATACGATAATGTATGGAAATACAGATGCAAACTTCTCATTGCTTATGAACTTTCAAAAGGCATTAATAAACAAATTAAACGCAAGCAAGATACTTGCAAACGTTTACCGCATTCCCTTAAAAAACCTCCATCCCTAATTTTAAAATCATGGATTCACAAAGCAACATATATGGTAACTCTTGGATGGATTTTTAGATAGGCACTGACTTTCTTCTTTTTCTTTTTCTGGTGATAACAGTAGTCATTAAATATGCATTTAG